CCGTTAGCGAGTAGTGTACCAAATAAAGCGTGCTTTGCACTATGCCGGTCTTTGTCCTTCGTCCATGCGGCAAACCCACTACACAATACTCTGGGAAGGACGGGGGTCCCTTCTGAGGCTTCCCTGTCCAAGGCTGTCCTCTGTGTCCCTCACGACACTGAACAGGAAAGGAAATAGCAGCAGACGGCAGCAAACTGCCTGCCTCTGTCCAAATGGGGCTGGGAGGGGCGGAGAACAAGATGCGCTCCCTCAGCACCCTTACGGAGGGCCCGGGAGGACACCCCATCCGGAGCCTGCCCTGAGCCCTTGAACCTGAGCCATCCTGGACGTGGGAGAAGAAACGAGCAGCGAGCGATTAGAAATGGGGCCCCCGGGGGGCGATGAGGGATCAGTACCAAACAGGATGAACAGGTAGCCCCTAGGCTGTTGAAACGTAAATGTAGTTATTAATAAAAATCAACACATCATAAAATGTAGAGACAAGAACCTAGCGTGTTGGCCAGTGTAAGAGAACACCAGCAGTGCCCCTGGCTTGATCTCACCAGTGGTCCATCTAGCCCAGCACTGTGCTTCACACAGCAGCCAACCCAATGCCCCCTGGATGACCTATGAAGAAAGGCACAAAGTCCTACCCCAGAGGAGGACTGGACATTACATAAGAACATAAGAGATGCCAATGTTGGATCAGGCCAAAGGCCCATCCAGTCCAACACTCTGTATCACACAGTGGCCAGAAATACCAGTGCCATCAGGAGGTCCACCAGTGGGGCCAGGACATTAGAAGCCCTCCCACTGTTGACCACCCCAAGCACCAAGATGACAGAGCATCACTTGCCCCAGAGTCCCTATCTATACCTTGTGGCTAATAGCCACTGATGGACCTCTGCTCCATATGCTTATCTAATTCCCTTTTGAAGCCGTCCATGCTTGTAGCCACCACCACTTCCTGTGGCAGTGAATTCCAAGTGTTAATCACTCTTTGGGTGAAGAAGGACGTCCTTTGTCTTTTCTAGAGTCAGAGGAATTTATCTCTCCCCACTGGAAGAACTATATCAAATGGATTTAATTTGGATAGTGTGCCTTTTTGTCTTTCTCAAAGGTTTTTATATTATTTACATGAGCTTATTATCAATCACTTTATATTTATGCTTTGTTTAATTTTTACACTTATTTGTTACTTTTTAACTATCGAGCAGCACCCTTTCCTCACATACCTCATTGACCCTGTTTTGAGGTTCCTTACTGTAATCGCTGTTTATATGGTCACCATTTGCTAGATGTACTAAGTTTGAATATCACACTAAGTTTGGTGATACTAATGCTTTGTTTCTGGTTAAATTGTTTCATATCAATCGCTATCTAAGGGGTATGGTAGGTTTACCGCTATTTAGTGTATCTAAGCATACTATTCCAATTGGAGTTATTGTTAATCTTTTGTTTCTCTAAATAAAAATTGTTATTGAAAAAAAGAAAAAAAACTCAGGGCTTTTTTTGTAGCAGGAACTCCTTTGCATGTTAGGCCACACACCCCTAATGTAGCCAATCCTAATGAGTTCCTGCTGTTAGGTGTGGCCTATTATGCTAATGAGTTCCTGCTGGGCGTGGCCAACTCGGGAGCCAGCCGGAACTCCGTTCCTGTGCCTTCCTGCCCAAAAATAGCCCTGCAGCTGCCAGGGAAAACGGTCTGGTTGTCACGGGGTGTGTCTTTCCTAAGGGCCCCCACTCCGACTCCATGTTGCCACGGTAGCTGGAAAGTGAATGTGCTGATGAGGACGCCTGACTGGCACGTTGACCCTCCAAAGGGGCCGTGGATTGCCAGGCTCCAGTTGGGGCCTGGAGCTCTCCCAGAATTACAACTGATCTCCAGTTTACAGAAATCAGTTCCCCTGGAGAAAATGAGTGCTTTGGAGGGTGAACTCTATGCCTTTATACCCCACTGAGGCTCCTTCCCTCCTCAGATTCTGCCCTTCTCAAGCTCCGCCCCCCAAATCTCCAGGAATTTCCCAACCCACAGCTGGAAACCCTAGTTCCCATAAAGAAAATGGCTGCTTTGGACTCTACAGCATTATATGCTGCTGAGGTCCCTGTCCTCTTGAAACACCTCCCTCTCCAGGGTCCAATCCCAAATCTCCAGGAATGTTCCATGTGTGGAGCTGCCAACCCTATGTGGAGGGGGGGGGGCTCCGGCATTATGCCCTGCTGACATTTCTCCCCTCCCAAACTCCTCCCTCCCTGAGTCTCCAGGAATTTCCCAGCTCAAGGTTGGCAACCCTAGGTTGGCAACTGTTTCCAGAAGAGTTTTGACCACCCCGTCCACCCCTGCCTTCCCCTCATGTTGCTTCCCAGCCCTGCTATTCAGAGGTTTGCTGTTTCTAACTATGGAGCCTCCCTTCAGCTAGTAGCCGGTAATGAACCTAGGAATCTGTGGAACCCCCTTTGAAAGACATCTATGCTTGCGGCCATCCCTACCTCCACGGGCCGTCAATTCCACAATTTAATTACTTTGGGTTGGATCCAGTGTTTTTTGCCTTCAAAACCATAGAGTTTGCCCAAAAACTAGAGTGTCACCGCCGACATCAGCGACACACTTATGTCACTTCCAGGTCACTTCCAGCTGGCCAGCAGCGGACCCAAGGCCCGAAAATCGGGGAAACCCCCACCTGAATGGCCAACCCCATTAGGGAAAGGAAGGAACTCAGTAGAAAAATGTTTGGCTATCTTCGACCAGCGCCAGGGCTTTTTTGCCCCTGGTTCCGACCTGATGGAACTCTCTGTCAAATTACATCCGTGCCCTGTAAGGCAGAGATGTTCCGCCAGGCTTACGGCTGAAGACGGTGTTTTTTAAACAGTAATGGCTTTTTAATCGGTCTGGCTCCTTCTTTCCTTTCTCACTGGGATGAGGATTTTAATCTGGCCCATTCTAGGCGCCATCTGGAATGAATTTTCAAATGTTTTAATATTTTATTGTCCATTGCATTTACATTTGATTGGATGTATTTTATGAAATGTTGTACACTGCCCTGAGCCCTAATAGTTTGGGAGGGCGGTCTAAAAATTGAAATTACAAATAAATAAATAAATAAATAAATAAGGAATGCCCATACAGTCCACCTTCCAAAGCATCCATTTCCTCCACAAGTCAGTGGAATTAGGGTTGCCAAGTCTGTTTTACCTTGCGGCGGGGGGCTCCCGATAGAGTTTTCCCCTCAAACATAGAGTTTTCCCCCTCAAACATAGAGTTTTCCCCCTCAAATGGCTGTGGCCCGCCCCCAGCGTGCCCGGCGTCATCACGTCACATCCTGCTGACGTGCACGCTGGGGTGGGGTTTCCCCCGGGGCCCGATTCCACGGCGGCGGAAATCGGGCCTCCAAAGCGGGGGGTTATCCGCCCCCCGGGGGGACTTGGCAGCCCTAAGTGGAATAAATGTTTTAGATAAATAATAAATGAACAAGTGATCTATGAAGTCTGGAGATCACGTGTAATAATGGGATATCTCCAGCCCCAGCCTGGAGGCTGGCAACCTTATCAAAATAGAGGCCCCGCCTCCCATTTTCTCCAGTAGAAAAGCCGGATAGAATCCAACCTTAATTGAGTAGAAAAGTCCTTCTTTTTGTCCATTGCCAACAACCTTCATTGCGTTCTAGTACTATGGACAGGAAGAAAAAGTTTTTCCCTCTCAATCCTATGCATCATTTTATAAACCTCTCCCCACGGTTACTCCATTTCCTTTGCAGTCATTGGCTAGAACACCATAAGGAGGAAACTCATTTCTGTTTTTTTAAATGAAAGCTGGCAAAACAGGAGGGGGGGGGCTAAGATTTCTCAGGGAAAGCCAGCGGTGCCTCCCCCTGTCGGAAGAACTTTGCCTTCAGCTTGAGAGGGAAGATTGTTTTTAAAATGCAGCATTTGGCAGCTGTGAATGTCACCGCTTCACACCACTGACACAGGCACTGAAGGGTACAAGACTGACCCTCTTGTAGAGTTGCCAGCCTCCAAATGGGACCTGGACATGTCCCAGAATTACAACTGATCTCCAGCCTGGAAAGGTCAGCTTCACTGGAGAAAATGTCCGCTTTGGAGGGTGGTCTCCATAGCATTATATCCCACTAAGGTCCTTCCTGCCCCCATACCCTGCCCTCCCCAGGTTTCAACCTTGGCCCAGTTGCGGTGCTCTCAGCCAGTTTGGTGTAGTGGTTAAGTGGGTGGACTGTAATCTGGGAGAACCGGGTTTGGTTCCCCACTCCTCCACTTGCACCTGCTGGATGACCTTGGGCAAGCCATAGTTCTGTCAGAGCTGTCCTTGAAAAAGAGCAGTTTCTGTCAGAGCTCTCTCAGCCCCACCTACCTCACAGGGGGTCTGTTGTGGGGAGGGGAAGGGAAAGGAGATTGTAAACCCCTCTGAGACTCCTTTGGGTAGTGAAAGGCGGGGTATAAATCCAATCTCCTCCTCTTCTAACCGACCACAGAGGGTTGATGTGAGGATAAAATGGAGGAGAGGAGAATGAGGTAAGCAGCTTTGGGTCCCCATTGGGGAGAAAGGTAGGATATAAATGAAGTAAAAAACCCACAAATTCACCCTCCCAAACCTCCAGGAATTTCTCGACCCCACGCCTTCTCAAGAGGCCTAATGTGTGGAAACAGGCAGCTGAATCTTTTCATGGCAGGGAGGTAAATAACCTCGCCCACAAAATGATATCCCATAGACCCTCCGTTCAAGGGGGAAAGACATTTCTTTCTCCAGGTTTTTGGCCACCCTAGTGGGAATAGACGCATGTCTGAGTGTCACATGCTTGAATTTCACACCCAAAGCTGGGTCGGACTTGGGCCGTCTAGTTGAGGACGCCGTACTCTGACTGGCGGTGCTTCTCCGAGGCCTCAGGGCTGGGGTCCTTCCCAGCCGCGCCGCCACTCCCTACACTGAAGCAATTCGTCTGTAGGGAATCTGTAACTTGGGAACCAACCACCTCTGTCACTTCAGCCGTCCTGTTCCTTCTCCTCACCTTTCTCCCCACCCGTCTCGGTCGAGGTCACTCCGACGTCCGTTGGCGGTGCTGCGTCCCCATCTTTCTTTCCCGCCGTTCTGCAGCCTTCTCTTCCGACCTTCCTTGGGCTGTTTGTTTGTTCCTTCTTCCTCGGCTTGTTTCATCTCTTGCTTCTCTCCGGCTACGCCCCAATTTCTACACGGGAAACCACCACTTCCTCTCGCTGCTCTCGCTGTTGCCGCACAGCGGCTAACGCTCTCCTGGCCTCTACAGACTCTTGCCGTCCGCCTCCCTCTCCTCCCCCCCCCTCCCCGCCAGCAAATTTAGTCAAAGAAGGGGACAGGTGCAGAGAGCTTTCTCTTCCCTTTACTTGTTCAGCCTTCGCTTTCTGAAACGGCACCCCCTATTCCCACAGCGGCTGCAAGGCCTGTTGGGAAATCAACCACCGTGGGCCTGTCTGCCCACGACTGATGTTGAAATAGTTTTAGGTTTGGTTTTACATCCCCCTTCCAGTCCCTCTTTGCATTTTGAATGTCACTCTCAGTACACTCCGGTTTAAAACACAGGAGTCCAGTAGCTGTGGTTGCCAGTCTCCAGGTGGGACCCGCTATTACAATTGATCTCCAAACAACCAAGATCAGTCCCCTTGAGAAAATGGCTGCTTTGGAGGATAGATTCTGTGGCATTGTATCCTGCTGAGGTCCCTACCCTCCCCAAACCCCAATCTCTCCAGGTTCCACCCCCAAAATCTCTAGAGGAGGGCGACGAAGATGGTGAGGGGTCTGGAGACCAAGTCCTATGAGGAAAGTTTGAAGGAGCTGGGTATGTTTAGCCTGGAGAGGAGATGACTTAGGGTTGCCAAGTCGACTTACCTGGAAAGTGGGGGGATTCTGTGCTCCCTCGTGAGTCTCCTCGCGTGCGTGCTTTGCGTGCATGCGCCACAACGATGTCACTGGAAGTGACATCGTGTCGCCCACGTTGGGGGCAGGGCACCGTGACTCGAGGGAAAACCATAGAGTTTTCCCTCGATTCACAGAGTGTCCCCCCACAACTTGGCCAGCGTGACCTCCGGGTGACATCATCACACTGGGGACGCCCTCCGGCAGGGGGTGAAGTCCCCCCCGGGGCCCAATCCGCCGACTGAAAGGTGATACGATAACCATCTTCAAGTACTTGAAGGGCTGTCATATAGAGACGATGGTGCGGAGTTGTTTTCTTTTTTTTAAACCCCCGAAGGGATATTTTTTATTTTGCAATAGACTACAGAAGTACAAAGAAAATATTGGGAAGGGAACTACAACTAAGGATAAAGGAAAGATAACCACACTATGCTAAAACCCCAAGAGGAGGAGATCTTATCCCTGTTAATATAAGTGTTAGTACTAAAAGTGTTAATATCACAATATACTTGTAGAGTTCTTGTTTATCACAGCTTCAAATGTGTCAATGTGTTAGTTGCTATGAGAGAGCTTTCTGACCATCTTCTTCTTCTTCGCTTGAAAAGGCCATTTTCCGAGTCCTTCTGCCTTCACTTCGGCTTTCTGTCTCTAAAATCGTATACAACTCTGGCGGGACCTGGACCCTTTTCTGCAGCAGAGTCCTCTTCCGTTCCAGAGGTGGCAGAGTCACTAGATTTCATTTCTTCCTCCTTAGACTCTTTCTGTGTTCAAAAACTCTTTGGCTTTGAAGGTGGAGTCTATCTTCTCTCTTTTATCGTTGATCTTAAAGATGACACCCTCCGGGACCGCCCATCTGTACGATATTCCATTAGTTTGAAGGAAATAAATTAAATCCTTATAATTTTTCCTCTTTTGTCGAATTTCAAATGGAATGTCTTTTAAAGTTTTGATGATTACATTTCCCATTTTCAGTGGAGTTGCTGAAGTTGCTTTTAAGATGGCATCTCTGGTTTGTTTTCTTGAGAATCTGACCACTATTTCTCCAGGCAGGCTATTTTTTAAAATATAATTGGAGTATGCCCTGTAGGCTAGCTCCATTTCTTTTAGCATCTCTGGTTTGTTTTCTTGAGAATCTGACCACTATTTCTCTAGGCAGGCTATTTTTTTTTAATATAATTGGAGTATGCCCTGTAGGCTAGCTCCATTTACTGGAGCGATGATCTCGCTAAGCACCTTCCTCAGGTCCTCCCGCTCTGCTTCAGGAACTCCCTGGAACCTGAGAATCATGTTAGCTTTTTCCATCTGTAACTGCAGCAAACGATTTTCTTGGACGTTCTGCTTCGTTTCCACTTTTCCCATTCTTTTCTTCAACTTCTTGCTTGTGGTGTCTATCTCTTTAATTTTCTCATTTGCCTGCTCCACTTTTTTCTCCGTTTCATTCAGCTGGAGCTGTTGAGATGCAAAGTTCTTATTCATCACGGTCAGTTGTTGGTTAATACCATCGAGTTGTTTAGCATGTCCACTAGCAGTTTAATGACGTCTGCTCCCTCTTCCGGTTTTGGGCTCTGACTGTCTGGCAGTTTTGTTTTCGGCTTTCTCTGCTGGGCTGCCATTTTCTCCATTTTGTTTACAGTTTCTACCGCTTCTTCACGACTCGAAA